AAATAATTACCAAAACGAGCTATCCCACCTCATCATGTCCATGTGTAATCGATTAAACTGCAAAATAAATTCACAAAAAGTCGTCATAACATGTGTCTTCAAACAATTAGACATTTTCTGAACGGAAAAAGTATGTATTTTCAAAATACTTTAAACTGCCTGTAACCTGCGTCCGGATAAGGACACCACCATTGCCTATTTCTGCTATATAGGCGGCATTTCATCACTTTTTAGCAGGAATATAAGTAGAAAAGTGTGAAAAACAACGCAAAATGACCTAACCTTGACGTTTTTCCAATAAATAACGCCAATATCCATCGGCTAATCAAATGACCTACGTCCATCTACAGGCTGCCTAAGTCCAGCCATCCACAAGCAAGATATCACTTCAGTACCACCCGCGCTCATTTTGAATCTCAAGGTCGTCGTGAAAAATGATGCAATTACCTACAGAATACAGCAGAATGTCAGCGGTTGAACTGGAGCGAGTGGCAACTCAACATTTCCGCAAAGAGCTGGGCAGTTTTGTCCTTTCTGTTGCTGCCATTTTCATAGGTAACTTGTGTAAATCTCATTTTCACGTCTTCAAATCTTTTAGCGGGTTATATATTTGCTGAGAATTGAAATGCCAACTGGCTCTTCGTTTTATTTTTGTAAAAAAATAGCAGTATCTTTTAGTTAACCTTCGTTCTCATTCACCAACGAGGGAAATTATTTTAATAGGGATAACTCAGCTAGCATTGACCTTGTGTGCACTGCAGAACGTAAGACAGTCATCTGCCGTCTGCCCCAAAAGTTCCTGAAGTCTGCCTCAGAGTTAAAAACCACACGTACGCAGATATACATGCAGAACTGATGAACTTTCACGATTGATGTAGATTTTGGTAGTCAAAGCTTCAGCCTGACTTCAGATTTTGAAATAATTTCTAAGTGTTGGGTTCAGTGGTTTTGTGACTTGGCGTTGACTTTGGACCGTACCCTGTTCTTACGACAGGTTGTTGAAGGGCAAGCTGACTTTTTTGATGACTTTCCTCAATTGAACTTCAGTCATACCAACTGTAAGTACTCAGTTACATTGTCTGCGACACAAAGCACTCAAGAAAGTTAATCACACTGCATACGCATAAAGCTCTGGAAGTTCTTGTTCATTCATTGTCATAAGTAAACACAGTAATAAATATGTAGAACGTGATCCCTTGATGCTGAAGTGAGCCTACACTTGTCGGTCACCTCCTGTTTTGTCATCTAATAGGTGAATATTTATTTTTAATTAAATATGATTTAGGCAGTTACAGTTTAGCTTGAAGTCCATATTTTAAGCCTTAAAGGCTGGGTTTCGCGCCACTGATTTATTTGACTTCACCTCGTAGTCTAAACACCTAACATAGTATTCGTATTGTATATCCAATATCGTTTTTACGAGCTAGTATAAACCAATTTGATTCCTTTGTGCTCGCTTCTTGATTGTGAGGTATAGGTTCTTGATCTTCGGTAAACTTCTGCGTAGCTTGTCCCGCCACTCGACTGTCGTAGCTTTGGTTGACTCCAAAGGGAGTAGTGCTGGGATTAATTATATGTGGTTTGTAGTATGAGGTATGTTAAGACTGTTACTACTGTGATTGGAGTTGATCCTTTCGCCAGTTAGTCCTTCGGTATTGTCGACAAGAGAAAAGAGATAGTAATAATAATAATAATAGATATAATTAGTGAAGCTGTTCAGACTAAGAGACAGAAACGAAAATAGGAAACGTAACAACAATCAGCTCATTAAGTTTGAAGAATAATATATATATCGGTAATAGTAATAATAATAATAGTAATTATAATATTAATAAGTTGTCAGGAGAGTAAGACGGGAGAGAATGTAAAGAAGTAAAGTGACGAGTTTAATTATCTACCCTGATTGATAAATGCGATTTTAAGGAGATAGGCCATTTGGATGCAGTCCTTGTATCGCTGCATGGTTGTCCAGCCTTCGCTTAAAGGCGTCCAAAGACGGTGCCATAGCTACATCTGCCGGTAAGGAATTCCAGGGACGACAAACCCACAGTGAAAATAGATATTAAAAGGCGAGGCGAATCTAATTATTTCAGCTAATGTGAAACATAACATCGAAGTAGTCCATCTTTCCGCATTATAATGTCCCATGTGAACTTCTGCGTGGTTAGTCATTTTATGAGCAAAGCTCTAACAGTTTGTGACTGGATTTTGCTTGCATCAACAATGTATGAAAGCAAACTTTGGCCAGACTGAGGTATTGTTCCTTGTCACACTAGTAGACTTATTTGTATCGATGAATAACACGCGAAAACAACTTAAGGTAAATGTCGCTGTTACCTTTTGCTAGTGAATCCCAATGCGCTTCTGGTTATAGTATATAAGCCAAACTAGATCCATAACCGTTACTTTACTATTGGTGAGAACCCTCCAAGTGAGGGATATTATCGAAAATCCGCAGAAGCAATAAAGGCTAGACGTAAAACCGGTGTATTACGGAAGTAATCACTTGATAAGAAAAAGTTTTTCATGACGCAAACTTCTTGAATGCGTTCAGTGTAATGGTTAAGAGACAGTTTTGAGTTAATGTAAGTGCAGAACGTAGTACCATATCGGATAAGTGTATATGAAATCACACGATGTTGCATTATTGATAAATGGATGACTTTACAGGCACATATTATTGCTCAAAATCATACCATTTGAGTTGTCTCCTGATCTCGCAAGGGAAACTTGCGGTTTTGCACACCCTTGCTGTGAGGAACTTATTGTAGGACCCACGGAAGGCGTATTTTTAACGGTATGAATCATTTTGTCCCATTCCTATATATTTTTTGATAAGGTCCGACGAGTAGTTTTTCGATGTATAATTTGAGACTGGGCTGGTAATAATGTATCTACCACTTGTACGGGTTAATAACATCGCCACCTGATGTCAACTACTAATACAAGGTTAATAGACTTTTTCTAAGACGATATCAAAGTACAGTTATTGAGGTGTTACTTCTGTACAAAAATGACCTAGTTAATCTAATTGTTAGGCGTCCAAGGGACAACAAGTCACCAAGTGACTGACTTGGTCTTCAACGTAAAATTTAGCACATGGGCGGAGTACGTCAAGCTGCCACACACTAAGGTAGAGAAAACAATTGTAAAAAACTAAAACTTGAGAGAGAAATAGTGGTTACATGTGCCTAATGAGGATTTAATTGATTAGTAACGCCAAATACAGTAAATGCATCTGCGCAATTGAGTGATTTTGGTCCAGTTTTTGCCTCTTAGCGTCTCGAAGACTTCAGCATGGCAGTCTACACCTTTCTACACGGCGCAAACCAACAGTCAAAGGCTTCATGCAATGAAGCCATGTTTTGAATTGACAAACCTTAGTCGTAAACCAAGGACAATTCGAGAGGTCAGTAGGCAACCAACTAATTCTTTCCTATGGATAGTGAGACGTCATTTGTATGTCGTATGACTTAGACATACATTAGCAGTCTCAATAAAAACTCAAGCGATAAACTAGATATTTCTGACATTCTGCCAATCGCTAACTTATGTACCTAAACTTCGTTTTTGAATTGTCTGACACAGATGACTAGAAAGATATTATCCAATGAACCAGTATTAGTCTTTGAGCTAATAAGGGTTAGTCGTGTTTGTATAGTTGTTCATGTCCATCAAGACTAAGCAACCATTTGTCGATGTCACTTGTTTATGTGTTATAGTTAGTCTACTAGTTTCTAATTGCTTCTATCCCTTGAATATTATTATAGTTTTAAGATATCAGAGTTCATTGTAGGTGCCCGACTTTGTTTCTTAGTTGGGTGTTGGGAATAGCTGGACATTTGCTTCATAGTTCCCAAAAGCAGTGCTATCAACCGTTTTTCCCTTTCAGTTCATAACCTCAGTATCATGTTCGCTTAAAACTAATTTTCTTCCTGACGTAAATCAATAATTCTATATATCAGTAATCTGAGTGCAACCATAGGTCGATCGAGTAAGACCAACTTGGGACTTTCAGTTAATAGCAATACTATGGAAAACGAAAGTGAAATCACATCAACTTTGCCATTTTCCTAAGTTTTTTCTCTGATAACGCCTTACAGAACATTTTTATATCTTTATATATCCCGAAACATCGATCGAAATTTCTAGGGATTGGTTTGACAAGATTTGGGAACGTAGATTACGGAAACCCGGCCTATCAAGCGACTGGTATCGTCCTCTCCTAATAGTATGACCATATTGGCTAAGACCGTTCAAAGTTGCAAACTATAACAAAATATCTATTCAGTGTTCAAAGGTTTTCTGGCTGATATTGGCTTAAGCCTCTTTGGAATTAAATTCGTATAAACCTTTAACATCTGAATCTTTGTAAGAGTTATTGTATGAAATTCTCACTTGATATGCTGACAGTGAGGAAAGTCGTGATCAAATCAGGTATTTATTAAAAGTAATGTTATATGTACGGTAGATAATTGCATTGTCGATTTCTCATGTTAAGTAGGACTATTGGACAGTTTACTTGCAGTCAGTTCCCATGACTGTAACACTTCAGAGACATTTTCGCGCTATGCTCTCATATACACAGATGTGAAATGCATGACTAACCAATATGAGCGCTGGTTCCCAGATATGATTACGCCTTCACACTGCGTTTCTCAACAAATGATCAGAAAGGCAATAGAACTTTATATACTATCGTCGATAGTTTAAGGTATTTGAAAATTTTCAAGCAATCCTACCTTTTTGTGAACCTTCAATACAGGGTACATTGGCTAGAATGATTATAATTCAAACCACCACTTCAAATGTACCGCAGTTTCTTGTCTTAAGATTATTCTGCCAAACTTAAGAGGCAACACAAATATATTTTTAAAAATTTTTATTTGTGATTACAGTAATCTCGGTATCACCACTGGATGGCCTAACAAATTGCAAGTCTCCTACTATCATCCTAATCAAACACAGCTACAGTAAAAACAGTATGCTATAGTTACAGTTCATGCAACAAATAAGTGGTCAACATGTAAATCATGAGGTTCTACAGGAATATAGTCTATAATCTGTTCGGAGAATGCGAATGCAGTTATATAAGGTTTACGAAAAACACCCAAGTGGCACTGCTTCATGTACCATGCAATATATCGGTCGTAATACCCACCTCCACGACCAAGGCGACCTCCACTCTGGGTGAAGGCTAGTCCAGGTACAATAAACGAATCCAATCCACCTATTAAACAACGAATTGAAAATTAGGTCATAATTATATTTCTCATCAGAAAAATATAAGGATATTCAACGTGAGACACCTTGCATCTGTTACACATGCAGTTAGCGTGAAACAACTCACGCTTTCTGACACCTAGCTATAAAACGGTGATATACGTATAACATAGCATGGAGTGTTCATGAAGGCTTTTATTACACGCGAATATATTTAAGAAATAAAACAGTGTGTGCAATAAGATAAACAACTGTCTCGTCAACCCAGTGATTACTTGAGTAAATTATGGTTGTGAGCTCTGCTTCTTTAAATGGTGACCTCCATCAAATATATCGCCCACTACTAGATCAGTCTCGAATCACATAACAACTCCAGAAATGTGTACGACCGCGAACTACATTTCGAGGTAAGGTTGCGTAAAATCTTAGGCTTCAAAACTGATCTACAAGATCATGCTCAATAAGGGTCATGGTGTCAGTAGTGACATTTAAGAATGATTTAATAAACATTGAACAGTTGGATTTTATAAGCTGATGGAAAATCGCAGAATTCATTTACTTCTTGGAGTACCTCAAACGGGGGAAAAATCACTCGACTGATTTCTCCGTGGCTTTCTATAGTTTTCTAACTGATGTTTAATTGTATGTGAAAGTTCTTTCTTCCAGACGACGTTAATACCATCCAGTAACACTGTTACATGTCAAATTAGCAGTATCACTAATTAAATATAAATCTTGAAAAGTCTATCAGTGGCACACTTGTTTGTTTTTCGAAAACACATATCTTAGCTGGTACATGACTAAGATAACCGTAAGTTTCAAGGAATTGTTGTCCAGAAGGTCTGTGAAAGGTTTGCAACGAAACCAACCATCTCAGAGAACACAATCATATCAAAAAAGCTTTTACTAACTGTGGTGTAAGACCAAATGTATTTACCTTGGCTTGTAACTATGTCTGGCAAATCCTTATTTAGCACTTGTTCCGGTTCTTTAATTCCCCACTTATTAGGCTTCCAAAGTTTGACTTCTTCTGCTGACTTTATGGGGAGCATATACATATCGGCAGATATTACTTTTGGAACAAAAACTTTTTTTCCATCCATAAGTGCTTTTTCGATTAATAACATTGTGTTAGGTTCCTCGGGAAGATTGATGTAAACGGCAAGCTTCTGCACATTGCAGTATTCAGGAGTACACAGGAACTGGAAAACCATTAAATTTGATAAATATACCACTAGAGGTTTATACATCAAGATCCTGATAATATTATAACATTCTTATACACTCTTTATCGTACAATCAAGTATTTTTTTATATTTGGGAAAAAACCGTTTATACTAAAGTGGAAATTACTGCGAATTTTAGAATTCATCTAATAAAGCTAGAGCTGCATGTGGAATCCTAGAGTCCACGTTTTAGCACGACACAGAAGCATAAAGCCCCTCAAAGAAGCGTATAGTTTTTATGTCATCCGACTGGTTAACAGATCAATACATAAGCAGATATGTGGACTCGTATATCCATCAAACTGAGATTCGCGAACGTCACAAAGAGCTGAGAGTTAGAAATCACTTCACTACTTTTGCAACCATATAATGAATACATTAGGTATGAAACATTTTAGACTTTCCCCTTACAGATTTGTCCAAAAGTTCCATGTTTCGTAGTTCTCTAAATCCTCACTGTCGATTAATTCTCAATTACATACACAATTATTTGCTTTGACGCTTTAATTATTTTTTTGATGTGGTACCTATCAAAGTATTGTAGGCACTTAAACAAATACGGTTCCAGTAAAAGACTCATTAGCAAACGTAAAAATGTGTAAGATTTGATCAAAACCAATAATTTGCATTTAACACTTCCAAAAAATGAGTTTTTTACTATGACAGCCGAAGAAAGCTCATCAAGATGGATGAAAACTATGAAATCATATGTAGCATTCGATTACCCAAGCACCTGTTTCACAAGGTCTTCCGATTTTTTCATGCGCATAGAAGGCGTCATGTGCTTCAGTATATCCTTCATTTGCTGTCTAATAGCATATTTACTGCTCATTATAGATTCTAATTGAAAGAAATAAAAGACTGAAAATAATAAATGTATTCACAATAAACAAAAATTTAAATCAGTTGAATACTGCATAATCTGTATTTGTAAAACTCTCATAAGCAAACAGTAGTATTATGCCAATGACGACATAAATGTTGTGAATGAGTTAACAGACGATGACTTTGGTTTGGCTTTTGACGCTACTTGAACGACTTCTGATTTGAGTATATTCTTTTTCAATTTCTTCTTTTGCTTTTTACTTTGTCTACAAATCTATGATAAAAAATCTTGGGAAAAGCAACTAACTTGTCTGCTTTCTTCTTTGCACAAGTGGAACTGTTTTTATCCGAAGTGAGTGGCTCCTCCTTCGCGCTGAAGATAAAGAAAGTAGTCAACTTTTAGGTAAAATGACATGGTATTAAATAAAGGATAAACAAGTTGAATGACACAATGAAATTTCGCGACTCGATGATACAAGTTCATGTACCAAAGGCTAAGGGTTACACTTGATGTAATACTGTTACGATACTAAACAACTGTTAAGAGAAACTGAGTGAAGTTGAATTCAGACCATTTCTTCACAGCGAATAACTCAAACTTATGAGATACAACTCAAGATAGAGATGTATTTCTGCAATGGCGTATTCCGCGGATATAGACTAGTGAACGTTCTGCCTTAAATTACAGCTAAAAAGTAACCAGTCGACAGCAACATGTACTACCTTATTTAAATACCAATGCTGTGATGAAAATGCACTCGCAAATGAAACTGCTAAGTACCGTACTATTCAACTCGTTTAATAGTATCTAATGACAACAGCGATTCGAAGATGTACTAAATAACTATCGGAACTGTCCATTAAGGATAAAATTTATTTTGATAAAGTCTCACAGTGTTATACAGTAATATTTACTGATTACGTTTCGAGCACAATTTATTGCTCATAATCATATCAATGTACTCACACAACTTCCTAACTTCGTTTATATAATTCCATCGCTTGATTTGATTGGCAGTATGAGTGATGAGTCATTCCAATGGGTGTAGACTCGATGAACAAGGATTCAAGTGAATTAAGCTCTAGTGAGATAAAAGTACTTCAGAAACGACTAAATTTCAACGTAACAGTTAGTAAATTAAAACCAGACGATGTCATTCCTAAAACAGACGTAGCATAAACTTCAATAGATCAGACGACAGCCGAAGAGGTCCGAAGTCAATGTGCATTAACACTTAAAAAGCAAAAGAAAGCATATTCAAACTTAACAAAATTGGAAAGACAAGCTCTAATTAGTCTAAAGCAGGATAAAATTATCATCATCACAAAAGTTGATAAAGGAAACTCTACAGTAGTTTTGGATTAATCTGACTATATAAAGTCAATGAACATATTGGAACGAGTCCGTATAAGAAAATTAAGAAGCCTGTAGATGCAGTAATGAACAACATTAAGAAATCTACAGCGGATTTAATCCGGAGAATGAAACCTGCACTGGGTGAGACTAAATGGTTTAATATATTGTCTAAAACTAATGCTAGTAGAATGTATGGTACTATTAAAATACATAAGACAGGTTATCCCATACGACCAATAGTCGATTTCAGGAATACTCCTACTTACGAATTGTCAAAACACTTAGCTCTAATACTATGTCCCATTAGAAATCGTTCAAACTCTAGGCTAATTAATTCATATGAGACGGAAAATAAACTAAATGACATTCAACTAGAGAATGACGAAACAATGGTTGGTTTTGACATAACTAGTCTTTATACCAATATTCCAATCAATAGGACCTTAGAAGCAGTTAAAAAAGAACTAACCGCAGATCCTGAACTCACTCATAGGACAAAGCTGCCCATTAAAGAAATTATCATAGGGATTCAGTTATGCCTCACATTCTTTAAATTCCAAGGCAAAATATATAGACAAACTGAAGGTGTATTTATTTTTTATTATTTTTGATTACAGCTTGATTCCACACTGTATATTTGGTACAAGTATGGAATTTTCAGCATGGATATCAGTAGCCCAAATTTTGCAGGCCGACCATAGATATCAGGTGTGCATCGGCAATGGGATCACCAATATCCCCTATCGTAGCAGATATATTTATGGACAGCTGGGGAAATATTGCTCTAAATACACTTAATCCTACTCCACAAATATGGTGGAGATATGTGGATAACACTTTCAGTGTTAAAAAAAGAACATATCTCTAGCTTCTTGACACACATAAACTCACTAGTACAATTCACATTTGAAGCGGAAAATGAGCAAGGAGAATTAGCTATGTTAGATTGTTAGATAAAACGAATAGAAGGTAAAGTGCACACTAGCGTTTATAAAAACCAACGCTTTATAATAGATACTTAGACTTTAATTCATTTTATCCGTTAACTGTTTAGGCAGACTTAGTTAAGTGTCTAACGAACCGAGCAATCGTACTAAGTAGCACAAAAAAGACCTAAACGATGAAATGAAACAGAGAGAAGAAGCGTTGGTGTTGAATAACTCTCCTATGGAATACATTAGAAAGATCGATAAAGGTCAACAGAAAAATAAAAATAATGGTAACATAAATAAGACAGAATATAAGGCATCTACTGTTATATCATATAAGGAGGGGACATCTGAGATCCTACGTAGGATTCTTAATAAAGTAGGAATTAAAATGGCATTTAAACCTACAAACTCCCTCAGAGACAAGCTCTGTAGGTTAAAGGACTCAGTTGGCGCAATTAGACCAAATAATATAATTTACAAAATACCCTGCAATGATTGTTAGTTAAGTCAACTACATAGGTCAAACCAGTAGGTCGAGATTAGTCAGATTGTCGGAACATGAGAATTTAGCTAAGGTAAGAATGGTTGACCCTGAGAAGATAAGTAATTTAGAAAAAAGCTCAGCGATTGCACTTCACGCATTAACACGCAACCACACAATAGGGTGGGAGAGGGTTAAAATTCTAAAAAGTAATGCAGGTAAGTGGAGAGAGAGAGAGGTTGATTACTCAATCCTTGTTCATCAAGTCCACACCCAACATACGCAATAGGAATGGCTCATCACTCATACTGGAAATATAGAAAATACTACTGCCAATCAAGTCAAGTGATGAGAAATAATGGAATTATATAAACGAAGTTAGGAAGTTGTGTGAGTACATTGATATGATTATGAGCAATAAATTGTGCTCGAAACGTAATCAGTAAATATTACTGTATAACACTGTGAGACTTTATCAAAATAAATTTTACCCATAATGGAATTATACTCTACTACAGTGCACAAGTTCTATTCTTATATCGCAACCGTCATTCAGCCGAAAACTGATGTGAGCAACTATAGACTAGCTCAGGAGTTTAGCAATCCGAATATTCACACTTTACAAATATTAAATATTTGTTAATCATACAAACACCCAGTTAAATTTTATATTTCTTAATAAACACCCACTACTTAGTCTATGGTGTCATGCGATTAGTTTCGGTGAAACATCACCAACCCTGATGGAATTTAATTGACAATGCCAGGGTGTTAGTTCTCTCACAATTACTAGTTTTGACGGCTGAAATCTGCTACCAAGTTGTCGAACATTCGCTTTGTTAACTGATATTCATGTGAATAATTTGTGACTTCAACAAAAGACCAAAGAGACTTATTTAGCATACCGTATGTATTAGTTATCGACTCAAGAATTTCATTTAGAGTCAGATATTCATGGGGATTTTAACTCTTTATAATTTAAGTATCGGTATAATAAGCTTTCAAATAAACTATGCAACCTGTAGTTCGATGCGGAAAATGTATATGATACGTTATTTAACTGTCTAACAATGATGGCACTGAAAACTTCCGAAAACAAAAAGCCCGTATATTTTTTGAAATCAAACATCGTTAGGACCTTGTTAGGGTTCTAATTGAGCCTAGCTAACTAGCAAGCTGCAATTTAAACTTAACTGTATCAGAGAATGGTGTTAGATGATGTACCTTTCAACACTGCAATTTGGTTTAAGTTCAATAGCCTTGACATAACACTGGTGTTTCAATTAAGATCGTATGTGTCCAGGAT